AATCTCCGGATTCAACTACTAAGGCATTAGCCTGTAACAATAAGATTGCCCACGCATTTTGTAATGAAACCGTGACACCAAATGAAACAATTTGTGAAGGACGAAGGTTGTTACCACAGAATAACTCAAGACGCACTGGTAGGCACGCATGTTGATGATATAATTGAAGTCGGCACTCAAGACGCGCTAGAAAATATCGGTAAGGGAATCAAAAAATATGTTGAAATGGATAAGCGTGATAAGCCAAAAACGATGCTCGGAATATAAATTAAATGGGAACATGGCGGTAACAAAGTTGTGATGACATAGACAGTGCTCATAGAATCACTCTCCAAGCAACACAATGTGATTTTCGAGGCGAGTCTACCACAGGACGAAACATATTTTGAGGAAAATTCATAAATAGAGCCGGCGTATTCTAGAAACTACCAACATATTGTTGGAGGATTGTTGTTCATATCACAGATGAGCAGACCGGACATAGCTATACACGTGAACCTATAAAGGAGACGTGCGCAAACTCCAAATATTTTAGATATGACAGCAGCAAAGATGTTACTATCCTATTTGTTAAGTACCAAGAAGGTAGATTTAAGACTTTGCAAGCCCTAAAACCTTGAGGTAGAAGTGTTCACAGACGCTTCTTACGTAGTGGAAGAGGGAAAATCATGGTGTGGATGCATGACTTTTGTGGAAGACAGTCGATAGGATGGTGGACTCGCAAGCAAGATATAGCAGCACAATCTATTACTTAAGCGGAATACATGGCAGCAGGAGAAGGAGCGAAAGATGCAGCATGGACCAGTCAGATTCTTGAAGAATTGCACATAAATCAAATCCGAGTTATACCAATGCTGATAACTGATTCTGAAGGAGGCTATAAGCTCTCAAAGATGAGCAAATTTGCACGAAGAACAAGGCGTGTAGAAGTTCGACATCATTACCTTCGAGAACAAATTCAAAATGGGAACCTGATTATCAAAACAATACCCGGAAAGGAGAATCTAGTGGATCCGTTGACAAAATTGCTACCAAAAGCCAGGATTGTAAATTGGAGGATAGAAATTTGTATGAATGGAAAAATAAGCTAATAAATTACAGTCTAGGAATACTCTCGCATACAGTACCCTAATCTGCTTGGAGTAAACTTAATCCTGAAACTAATCAGGAAGGGGCTTTGGATTAGTCATGAATTAGTTATAGAAGGAAAGGTGGTCAGAGCTGACGTGGAAAACTTTTCCTGTGTAGAGTTCCTTTAAAGAGGAATCCTGGGATGGAGTTATTATTATTATTAATTCATTTTATTGTCCTGCCTGAGTCTATGACTATGTAAGACATGCAGGTCTTCTCTATCTATAGGCTAAGGATGCCTATACCAGTAGTATATCCCCTTCTATGCCTCCTATAGAGCTCCCCTCAAACAATTCTACCCCTCACAAGTCCTCATTTGATCGTACACTTGGAGGAGCCCTCTGCCCTTCATTATCTCCCCTCTCCGGCCAACGAAACGATGGCCATTTGCGGGTGTATGGCAGCTGGGAAAAATCGCAATAACTACTGGGTGCGGGGCTCTCCTAATACCGACATTAGGACTAAATCCGAAGACATAGCGACCCTTCCGAAGCGTTCGAAGAGGCCGGCCAGCTGGGCGCTGCAGACTTGTGGGTACCTCGGGAAATTCACACTCTGCCTTTCTAGCCTCCTTTCAACTCCTTCCCGAAGGTCGTGCTAAAATGTCAGAAACGTCTTGACAGAGCGTGATTGCTGCATGGCAGCTTAGCCCAACTTCTTGTGCCGTCCAGGGCGCTGGGGAGTGCCGTTGACTCATCGACAATAGAAACCCTCCTGGCTAATTAGCCGAAATCTCGGTCTTGGTGCCCACATACGTTCCAAAGTTGAGAACCTCTCGAAAATATCGGTCCCAGCATGCTCTTCAGAGACCTGTTTCCCCTCTGGCTCCACATCCCAGCCGCCTGTCTTTCCTACAGTTGTATAACCCTATTAAAGCAGCAGTCCCCCATAAGCCAAGACCCAGGCTTTGTATTTTTCGACTTGATTTCCCCCTTGCGGGTATAGATAGCGTCGTAAATATATGGTGAGGGATGGCTGGAAATTAATGGAGAAAGCTCATGTTTGCAATTGGAGCAATTTCTTTTTTGGTTGTCGAGGCGAGATGATACGTGGATAGAGAGAGGTTGAGGACTCAGATGAGTATAGTAAGAGAGGTATTTTCGAGAAGTCGTCAAATGGAGATGTGCTCAAGGTTTGTTTCGACTCCGATTCGGATGCGATTCTTCTTGGCTATCCCAGATATGCAGAGCATACTGAGCGATTACATCGGAACCACTGGAAGGTGAAGAATTCATCTTTGCCAGCCTGGGATAGAGGTAGTTGATCAATGTAAACTTAATATAACTTATTTGTTAGTTCGCCCTAAAGAAACCCCACAGTAGCCGTCGCTCTAAGATTGAGAAACAACGCTCTATCATCTATTAACTTTTCTCTGCGCCAAATATGCTCTAAGATGTCTCCTTCCAAAGTGGAATAGGTGCCTAGGCTACTTAAATCATACTAGAAAACACCACCAGGAGGCGAGCCACGGCATCTTCCATCATTTGCTTATTTTTTAGTGTCAGCTGCACTCTCACGAGCGAAGTCTTGGCGCGTACAAAGCTTAATTCGTTAGACTCCTTGCAAAAATTCAGAATTTCACGCCCTTCGAGATTGTATCCTTCCTTCGCATCATCTTGTAAACCTGTCCTCATCCCTCCCATGTCCATCCAAAAGAACCGTCTCCCAGATTTGTGCGCCACGCTTTGCTTTCTCCGTCGGGTATAAATATCGGCGAGGGCGTGTATTTGGTAGCCAGCTTAGGCCGAAGAATAGTTGATGAGAAGTTTGGTCATTAAAATGGGGATGTACAAGCTTGTACTCGTAAACCTGATGAGGTTTCTATAGAGATCGATCTCGATGGGTGAGAGAGTTTGATTCCTTAAAGAGTCTTGGATCATAGCCTCGGGAGCCAACATCTTCAGAATTGCGAAATTTGGGAAATTTAACTAAACTTGGCTCTTGAAGAATATTCCACTCACAAGTTCGTAGATGACACCGCGTACAGATGTTCTATCTTTGCCCTCCAGTGATCTTTTCTCATTCTGCGATTTTTCCTGCATCCTTTCCATCATTTCGTTCATCTGAGCTTGTAGCATCTCCAGATCTCTTCGGTGTTCCATTCCTCTTAATCTTATTTCTTCGATCAGTCGCTGGGGTAATATTTTTAACACCTTTCAGTGGTGTCCCGTACGAACCTCTGGCTCTCACTGTAGAATCTGCAGAGCCGAGATTGAGTAACAAAGTCCTCACTTCGATGAGGATTCCCAATCACTTTCGCCGTCTGTATCGTCTTCATCCCTAAGCACATCCCCCTATCAGCATTGTCATGAAGCTAACCACGATCAGATCAGATGGTAGGGTCGAAGCCTTTTTCATCATCAACCCTTGATCGTGGAGGAAAAGCCATCTGATGAGTTTCCGGAGCGTAACCAGCACCCGATACGGCAATGGTGAATTAGATCAAGTCGGCCAATATTATTATTAAGAGATACATAGATGAATATGTGTATCTCATGTTGTCTTGGTGTCTAGGCCTCGCCTGGCTGGGACTACAGGCTTTTTGAGACTTTTTCCCGCGCACGCAGCTTCCATTGCTACCATTTTATTTTTTCATGTATGAAGTTCCACGAAAAAGATGGCTGAATTTCACGCGTAAAAACTGAGCTGAATGGCTATTCATCACGGGCAACAAATCAATAATTTTTGAAGTATCAAAAGAGGCAAGGAGCACTGTACAAGGTGTGGCCTGGGTCAGAGAGGAGCCCAATGTGTTGGATAACCATAGACTCTAGTAGCACAATAAACCCACCAACTCACAAATTTAGTGGTAATCTGAACATGTCACTCTTTTATTCAACTTCTTCATTCCACGAATATTGCGCCCACAACATTCAGCGTTCCTTCCACCACAGGTTCGTAGAGGTTGGCGTGGGCAAGTGTTGAGTCTCTTTCCTCCATCATTTACTCGCGTGCAATGCTCTGGCACGACATGAAGATTTATATACACAAATCTTCTCAGTTCAAAGGCCTTGGAATATTCGACAGCATCGGCGCCAGAGCATCAAATCCCTCTTCGACTTTGGCTACAAAACTCTCAAGCTTTCAACACTCATGCCACTTTCGATTCTCTCTGTATTTCTATTAGAAATTCTGGCTCTTGAATTTAGTTCTTACGCGTTAGCTGTTGCGTCTAAGGTTCCCGACAAGATTGATTCTCTCAAGATATATCTCGAGTGCGCTATTCAATAGCCCTCGCATATATGTATGTATCTATTTATGTACAGTAGTGTGTCTTGGCTTATCATAGTAGATGAGAGGCGGCTGGCTATTACCACGCATGATAAGCTCACGGGACAGGTGGAAATTTATCTCACAGATGGCTTTAGGTCCATTGTTCCTAGAGTTGTAAAATGTAAAGTCTCCTTTACTTCATTCTATATCCATAAAACATCCTATAGAGTACGTTTTCCAACACTCTCTAGATCCCAGCCTTTCTTTACCTAGCATCCTGCCACGGTACAGTCAGATTTTTACCAGCAGGGATCTCAACTCCTCGATAATATTATGCTTCTCATTGTGTCAACGCCCCTGATCGTCCATATTATCAAGGCCCTTTTCAATCTGTACTTTTTCTTGGCGTCCAAAGCTACATGGCATTGATTGTGAAGAAAAACAACAGATTTAGGGTTTCCCAAAAACGAATTGGGAGTGATAATCACCTATTGGGCTTTCACTCTTAAATTTATTGTACTAAATTGAAGATATCAGAATGTACTAATAATACATATGCGATTATGATACTTATCTTCTTGCATTTGACCTAGCTCTCCAACACCGAATATGTAAGATAGAACCACGAGTGGCAGTAGGGACAAGCTCATCACCCTCTAGATTTCGCTTATTGTGTTTTCAATAGGATATCTTTGACAAATAACCCACCAATTATCTCTCTCGTAACCACTATCGATAACTTTTCCGCCAGCAAAGCCAATGTCCTCTTCGAGCTCACCTTTGCAGTAAAGGTGATAGTATCTTTGGAATTTTTTCCCATTACAAGGATTTTCCTTTGCCTGAGAATTCATAATCCATGGAACCATGACATCTTGTTGACCACCCTCATCCCAGCCCCGCCTGCTTCCTTTTTGTTCGAGTGCCCAGACGTAGATGAGAGCCTTGCCATCCAGTCGAAGACAGTCAATGATGCTCTTAATAGCCGTCTGTCTGCGATGACGTGTGCACAGGTGATGAATAACAGCGATGCTAATGGCGAAGTCTAAGCGCCCTGCTTGATTCGGGAGCGACAAGGAGTCGGCGACAATAGCATCGTGCGGCTCGTGTGCCTGCGCAATTTTAACAAGGTTGCAAGAGCGGTCGCTGGCTATTATAAAGACGTTGGGGTTAACACCAAGATATTTCCCGTTACCGCACCCAACATCGATGCCAATAGAGCCCGGGCACAAGCCCTGTAAAAACGTTGAAACAATTGGCCATGGCTTGTAGCGTGTTTGAGAAAAATGCTCGGCAATTTGCTCGTACACTTCATGAACATACTGTGCTTCATACTCGTCGGGCGCAGCGTCGGCTTCTTCCACCTCGAAAGTCATGTTAATTCGCCACAACGAGACGTTTGATGCGGCAGACAGATGAGTTTTAGTGTAGATATGGATTTATGTGAGAGAGGAGTTGACATTTCCCGTCGTCAGATTGAGAAGAGTAATTAAAAATTTTGACTTGGTGTTTTGCAGCTAATTTATGCATGTGTACCGGAGACTTCGATGGCTAAGCGAAAAGTTGGGTCTAGGATAAATATGGCGAACTCGTTGTGACGACATTCCCCAGGCCATGGCATTGTCATTTGCCTACCCACAGAATAATTTTTGGTAGGTCTTGCGAGCAAAGATAAGAATTCAGTGATCGGTTGGCTCTCCCAACTAGACAAGACAGCACGCTCTCGGGTATAGGTCGGTTACAATCATCGCAGAACGCAGGTCAAGTACTAGAGTTATGAATTTTTGATTGTTAGTCATCCTCAATACTCCCTGAGATGACTAATTTATTGATTTAAATTTAAGTCTCTACTGAATCCAAAACTATGAAAGACTACTTAAATATCTACCTAAATAGCTCTTTAATTTATGGGTTAATTTTTAATTTGATTATCACAATTATATGCCAGTTGATCCTGAGGGTCACGCCCCGAAAGAAAAATGACTGAAACTCACCCTGATTTTTTTTTAAATCTTTTAAGTTTATTCAGCTATAGATCTGACACATGACCGGTGCTATGTATACATGTTGGATGACTCTTTTGACGTCAGAGACACTCATACTCTGGATTTTATTTGCAAATACCACTATAAAGTATATTCGCTTACACAAACAGTCAACCCTCTTCCGTAAGTACCCACCAAAGTGCATTTCAAAACCTTTGATTGTCCGAGCATGCCTTCATCATCCATGGATACCAGCGCCGCGAGAAATGTGGTTGTGTTTTGCCGGGTTTGAACCAGCGATCTACTGTCTGGAGTGGGATATGTGTCCAAGCTATCCAGACTCTACTTGGCAGACCGGCCAAGACGATGTTTATAGTGTCAGCTGCACTTACGCAACCGAAGTCTTGGCGCGCACAAAGCTCAATTTGTAAAAACTCCTTGACAACATTCGAAATTTCACGCCTATGGAGACTGTATCCATCCTCTGCATCATCTTATCAACTTGTCCTGATTCCTCTCACGTACATCGCAAAGAACTTACCTCCAGATTTGTGCACCACGCTTTGCTTACTCCTGCGGGTATAAATATCGGCGTTGGCGTGTATTTGGTGACCGGCTGAGGCCAGAGAATAGTCGACGAGAGGTGTGATCATTGAAATGAGGATTTACTGGGTCGTAATTGTAGACTTGATGAGGCTTAGGTAGGGATCGGACTCTTTGGAAGTGAAAGATTGACGTGGCGGAGTAATTTGAATCGTTGCCTCGTGGGCCAACTTGATCGGTATTGCGAAATTTGACCGAACTTGGATCTGGGAGAATATTTCACTCCCAGGTTTGTAGAGGACACCGCGTACAGGTGTTCAGTCTTGCCCTTCTCACCCTGATTTGTATCTTGCCATACTAATCAGAGCAATCTCCTATTTGTTCTTGAAATATTCGCTGAAATTATCTCTGGCTCTAATTAGCTTTTAATTTTACGTTCACCTTGCAATATTTATCCCCCGGTGGTTATAATGACAGCATATAGATCTCAGGAGGTTGGTTTCGATGAGTTAGATGAAACATTAGAGGATGAAAGGTAGGACCAATATGAAAATGTCTGGGGAAAGCTGAGTTGGAAACTCAATGAAGGAGAATTTTTAGATCATTTATCTTGTACGAAGCTATCAATAAAGCATATTTTTGTTTATATTTTGATTTCATTTTTCTCGTTCAGGTACCCTATGGACTGATGCAGGTATATCTAGCTATAATATTTACACAGGAGGAGACCAAATTTGGTAAAACCCCACCAAAACTGTCTGTCCCATGACTGTTGGTTTTCTGAGGCTTTCTACAGGAATTGCGTTTACACTGTTTATATAGTGTTAATTCCGTCCTATCCTTGTCCAAGTCGTCTAATCTTTTCGTCCATTGCCTTTACTTCTTCTCCTGCAAGCCGTAATTGTTCAAACCACCCTTTTGCCAGGATCTGTTTTGTGATTCTCTCAATATCATCTGGGCTGATCATCATTGCCGCAAATGACCTATCTTTTGCCTTTCAAAGCACCTCTCTTCTTCCCATTGCCCACTGAGGACACGCCAAGACCATAGGTTTGACATTTTGAGACGGATATCCATACTGACACCTTGGACTAATCACTCCAGGGCCTTTCCTTCGATACAGATAAGAGTTGAGACCAATATGCTCACTTCTTATTTAAGCTGCAATACTGCTTTGGGCCCTGCTAAGGTTCCGGTGGATATTTGAGGGTATACTTCTACAGGTAATTCTTTTTCTGCCTGTTGTCTTATCTGTAACAATATTTGCGGCTTTCCAATGTTCATGGTCTGCTGAAGCTCGATGACCAAATAGTTTCTCGTTCCCTGGACGTGTCCATGTGTTTTTCCACCCCTGGAAAGTGGCCACCTTACCAGCATCTTTATGTCTCCCTTTCGCACTCTCCATGCCACAAATTCTGGTCTATCCTACAATGTCTAGCTTTTGATTCTTGGCGTGCCTGTTCTGGGGTCCCCTTGTGGTCTGCTTAATTTTACTGCATGCAGATAGTATCATTCTCTTGACAGGTTGTCCTTCTGATAGTTCGAGGTGTTGGATCCTCCTTTTTTTTTCAGGGAGATATCTATCGGGAGAACCGTTGCGTACGCAAATACGTGTACATTACCATCTGACAACTAAAGCAATTTCCTAGTAATTAACTATCAATTAAACATCAGTAGATTTTGTTGTACAGTAAAGAAATTCATCACAACTCTAACTTATCCTCATACTTGGTATGTCATTCTCAATCTCTATAACTGTTCTAATTAGTACCATATGTAATTAGGCCATATCCTTAACCTGTCCTTGAGGTAGCGCGATATTTAATAAGATTGAGCTAGAGGACTCGCATGATAATAGAAGGACTGATACTTTTGAGAAATCCAGTGCAGATATGCTATCGTTCACTTTCAACTTCTATCCGGATGTGATTCTTCCTAGCTATCCTAGATATGCAGAGCATACAGAGCATGCAGAGCAATTACGTCGGCACCGCTTGGAGGTGGAGAATTCATCATTACCGGCTGCCTCTTTTGTTGGGAGGTAGAGAAGTGTAGATGGTTATGCACTCCTCGTCTGGCTCCAGTGTCTAAACCTCGCCTAGTCTCAAGGATGAGGGTTTGACAGTGTTCCACGGGGTGCGTCGTATAGCCTAGTGAAGACCTAGGTGGTAAGTGAAGGTTGTAAATGGTTCAAAGGGATGTCAGATATTCTCTAGGAAGAGATGAATGGGCAACTAGTTGCAGTAGGTGTTACACGTGGGTCTTGCTGATGAAGAACTGGGCAATGGATAAATGGTCTTCCCGAAGAAGAGATGGGTAAACAAATGTATTGTAAATGGTAGATAAAGAAGACGTTGCGTGAGGAGTAAATCTCTCTCACGCCGAACTATTATATACAAGAGTAGAAGCCTTTGCCAACCGGAATTAATCGTAATCAATTCTTGCCAATATCTTCGCATTAATGGCTGTGTTCTTGTCCTTCTCTTCATGACTCCCTTGTATATCCTTACATGACGTTTTACATGACTAATTGTATAGGGGAAGCTATTATTAAATTGATGGTTTTAATCAACTACCCCTTCATCTTATCACGAATTAAAATTAGTATTAAAACTCTAATTACGGATCTGTGAAACCTAGCTAGGGCTACAGGTTTTTGAGACTTCTTCCCGCGCACACAGTTTCTGTTGGCAAAGACAGGAGAGATCACTTCTCTACTGCAGTATTAGATTTGATCGTTAGTGTAAAATTTATATGTGTGTAGATCTTCTCTCCATCAAATTTGCAAGGTTTATATATCGGTGTAATGGGTGCTCCATATATCACGTGATCAATCACTTCATAAACGGTATTTATAAGTAGAAAACAACACATAACTTAACATTCATGCGCTAGAAGATCAAGATCTAACATTTGCGGCATTAGGGAGGTGGGTTAAACAGCGTAGCCAAGAGCTCGTGGAAGAGTGGTGGCAGAAGTATCGACCGAAACGATACAAAGATCTGGACCTATTCATGCGTTGCAAAAGACCACCGGAACTAGCTTTACCAAGATGGGCGTACCATCGTCTTATTGCGGCAAGAACAGGCCACGGAGACTATGCCGACTATCATCGACGTTTCAACCCCGAACATGAAGATCTGAAATGCGTTAGCGGCCGAGAGAAAAGGCCCTGGCATTTTTCAGAGTGCCGACCTGCTTTGCTACGTTGGAGAATCTATGAGAAAATGGCCCACCTGGGCCAGGGAAATAATAGGGGAGAAGAGATGGCAGAAGTTCATTCAATTCCTAACTACAAGCAGGTGTTACAGTCTGCCGAAGAATGAACAGGGTGGGAGGTGACCACGCTGAGATTGTTTCTGATCCGAGAGGAGATGGGTGTGGAAGATAGGGATGCGGCGCAGGACACCGTAACTCAGACACATACTGTTCTTTTTTTTTTTTTTTCACTCTTTTCTTTTGTCGCTTCTGGCCCCACTGCCGGTCATGTAGGTAGCAATGAGCTTTCAGAGCCCATTTACCCGTGTCAAGTCTAAATAGATGTTAGGTTCTTCCTGTCACGTAAAAGATTTCAAATTCAAATTAACATTCATGCTTCTTGCATATCAATCGGAGATATGCTGACTAGCCAGACGACCAAAACCAAGTGGCAATTATTCCAGATGCAAACGCCAGTAGCCTCGCCTAATAAATATATCCTAAAAGCCAACATACCAACAGTTTCTCTAGTTACCTTCCGTAATTTTTTTGTGTAGAAGGTTCCGTGGAAAAGGTGGCTGAATTCCACGGGTAAAAACTTAGCTGAATGGCTATTCATCAAGGGGAATATATCAATGATCTTTCAAGTA